CCTCCACAGCCATAAGCTGATAAATCTGTGCTGGTTTAAGCTATTAAGCTTATGGAAATTTGTTACAGTGGTAATAGGAAAATAACATAGTGACCTGTAGTGTAAGTGATTAAAGGTCTAGAATGGGGTGTTGAGAGGATTCTGACATTTACACCAAATAAACAACCAGGTGAAGTGGGAAGGTGTTTTAAGGAAGACCTACCTGGCAGGGCTGTCAAGCAGACTGGAGCGAGGGGAGCATTGGCGTTAGAGGAATCAATTAAATCTCTACCAGAAAAATAAGGAATAAAATGTAACAGGGCTTCAGTGTTAGTGGATGTAGGAATGGAAATGGGCAGAGAGATATAAACATTACTTTGGAATTAGCTACAGGTTTCATGACTGCATGTTGGGGAGAGTTAGCCAATGGGTGGACTGAATGTTTGCATCCCCTCAAAATCCATATGTCGAAACCCCATCTCCCAGGGTGATGGTATTGGGAGGCGGGGCATTTGGGAGGTGATTAGTAAGATGAAATGAGGTCATGAGAGTAGAGCCCTCATGAATGGGATTAGTGTTCTTATACAGGGCCCCAGAGTGCTTGCTTCTCTCTGCTCTCGGGCCCATGAAGATAGTGGGATGACAGCCATCTTCGAGCTGGCAATCCTCTCCCAGATACATTGACCTTGAAAGTCTCAGCCTCCAAACCGTAAGAAATATGCTTGTTAAGCCACCCGACCCACGGTAATTTGTTACAGCATCCCAGACTGATGAAGACAGTGCAGAATGCCTCTCAGTTTGGCACTGATTGCCTGGAGAATGCTGAAACCTAGGGAAGTGGTCAGCACAGACGTTTACTCATTTAATCCTGCCAACACAGTAGGAGATAGAGTCTACATATTCATCGCTACTTAAAAGGTAAGGAAAAAGAGGCACAAATAATAACAATGACAACAACAACAATAATTTGTCCAAGATTCACATAGAACCCCCTGGAGGCAGAGTGAGAATTTATACTCACGCAGGCTGGCCCCAGAGCCCCTGCTCATAACTAGTAAGTCAGATCACCTTGCTTATGTGGATCAGTTTTCTTCAACTATGATATGAGGGTACTGTGTCCAGTAACTTATAATTTCAAAATACTTCACTGTAAGGGAATCATTAGTCACAGGCATTACAAACCACAGGAAGCTAGACATACAAAAATAATTTGTTAGGGCAAGATAACCAACAATGTTTTTAAAGATTATACCTGCTGAGACTTTGCAATAAAATGTTTATTTATAATTCTGTCTGGCTACAGAATAACTTCATAATCCTGCGTGTGGCTCTTGGCTCCCATGTTGGACAGCACGGGCCTAGAGAATTTAAATGACATGCCCAGCCTCGCCAAGGAAGCTCATGGTGGGATCAGAGCTATAGTCTGGGACTTTTCCTTCCGATCCAACAAGTCACTTATGGAAGTTTAGAAGCTTCTCCTTTGGTGCCCAGATGTCTATCCGTACTTATGACATTTTGTCAGGTGTCCAAGCCTGCTCCTAAACATCAGCCAGAACCCACTTCTCCACTTTTTTGGCCAGGTAATACCTTCTAGCAACTTCCATTACCTTATTGGCATCAGTTCTTAACTGGAAGGGTAGTGGCTAGAGATGGAAATGTGTCCACATGACAGGTTATTCATAAACATTGCAGGAGTGATCAAGAGAAGAAAACGTCAGGAAGACGAGTGGAAGCAGGTCATTTAATATACCGAATGGGTACTTTCAATGTATGTTTGCGTTTCCAAGTCCAGGCTTGTTCTGCTCGCGCATTACAGGCCAATAAATCGGGAGACCAGGTTTTGGGGCAAGAAATAGCGACTTTAATTTGGAAAGCCAGCTGAGAAGATGGTAGAATAATGTCCTGAAGAACCATCTCCCCAAGTCAGAATTCAGGCTCTTCTTATATTAACAAGGGGAAGACGGAATGATTGGTTGTTGCAAACTTGGTGTATGAATTCTTTGTTGTTAGAATCCTTTGTTCTTGCAGCTCTTCACCTGTGTCAGATCCGTGTAAACCTCCAACAAACAAATGTTATTTTCTATTCTATAACTTGTTATCTTTATATGAATGGAAAAGTGTTAATATCCTTCAAATTCAGAGCCTTGAGAATAGGGTCTCCTGTATATTTCAGGCTCTAGGCAACATTGTTTTACAAGCAAGATGAAGCCTAGGAGACAGAGCACAGGGTTTGAGTCAAAGGAACTGATCTAATATGGAGTCAGATTTGTTCTTTCCTATTACAGTAGTGCCATGGAGAAGGTACTTTGGGCAGCTTTTTGTACGGTCCAGGAGGCTTTATCTCTCAGCCTCAGAGTGCCTCTATTGAAAACCCTTCATAGCTGTCTGGCCTGCTGGGAAACCACTCTGCCTGTTTTGCCCTGAAGATGTGTTCTGTTT